ATGTTGATATAATACAGTACAAAAAGGTCATGAAAATTTTTGCAAGGGCAATATACATGTAGTATTGTAATTACATAGATGTGTGATGGCTTCATAGCATATACTTTGATCTACAAAGAGGTCATGAAAAATGGAATTTTTTGCAAGGGTAATATAGTATGGTAATTACATAGAGATGTGTGATGGCTTGATAGCATATACTTTGATCAGCATTAGTCAAGTTCTGAAATCACTTTATCCCGCAGCAAATTTTTTTACCCAGCGCCGGGATATGTCAGGTCTCAATTAATTATATCCCGTCGTTTGCAAAAAAAAAATTACGGGACAGTGAGTTTGAGAAACTGACTGTCCCGAGGCTCAGTGCTACAAAGTGCTCATACGGGATAAAGGTGTTTGCAATTGCGACTATCCCGCGAGCCCTATAAAATTACGTGACAGTGTAACTGTGATTTATTATATCCCGCTCTGTGAAAAACATTTGTCGGGCTCGGGACTAATAATCAGATCTTGGTTATATTGTCTATATGTATTCATCATCTGCAGTTAGTTCGAAGAAACACTTGGTGCGGATATAACACGGGTGATCGCCATATTAGATACATGTATAGAGCTGACATATAATAAAAGAAAATAGTTGTTCAATACAGAGATATGTCTCTGTTTAATAAAAGGGAATCTGTGAAATAGTCGTTTACTTAATTCTTTTGGCGACGTACTGTTCATTAAACCTCTCTCCAACGCTTATAATTTAACTCTTTCATACATCCACTTGGTAAAATAGTTAAAATAATATAGAATAAAATGTTTAATATACTGCTAAATAAGTTGCATTAAGAGAGAATCGTAGAGAATATTTTTTCCTGTAGAATAGGCAGTTATTTCTTTTATTATAGCGGAAAAAAATATAATACGTATTTTTAAGAATTATTTTTGATTTAATAATATTATTCGTGTATTATTTAAAGGGAACAACATATAATACCATATAATACAGAATAATATTCCTGTCAGGAGCAAATAATATGTTGGCATTTGCAATCAAAAACCGATTATACGCTGTTATTTTCAAGCCATTAATCCCTAATTATTCAATTCCTATGAAATGAGTTTCATTCATACTGAGAATTAATCCATTTGTTATGGTTAATGGATTAATCTCTACAGCTGATGGCTCTTAATTCCACAAAAATAATTTGCAAAATAAGCTTTTACATACACATTTGATTATATAATGTCCCTAATGTTATGATTAACATTGTGTTAAATTTTTGATTCAATCAATTAATTCATTGTAAAGTTGATTTTTGAATTCTTAATTAATTGATTTTCCTCACATTTTTATTCCATTGTTTCCTTGTCACATTAAGTTTATAGCAAACAACATTTAAATCGATCCCTTCTTACACAGGTACAAACCTGTATTCACTTTGCCAACCGGAAAAACAGTCATGACACGAAACTGCTCAATATTCAATAAACACATTACGCATTTTATACAGACCCTTAGCCAAGGACCCCCCTCCCCGTGGCCAACAATACTTTCAAAATCATGTAGTTTTTCACCATTCACATACATGTATTGACATTCCAGAGCAACAAGCTTTAATCCCTAATTATTCAATTTCCATGATTTGAGTTTTGTTCACACTGATAAATAATCTGTTTGTTAGAGTTAAGGGATCAATTTCTGCAGCAGTTGGTTCTAATTTCAACTGAAAAATAAATTGCAAATTTAGTTTTTCATATTTATTTGATTGTATAATGTCCCTTATGTTATAATTAACATTGTGTTAAAATTTGGATTGAATGCATCCATTTAACAGAAAGTTAGTTTTTAATCAATCTATGGGTTTCCTCACATTTTTACGCCATTGGGTTTCCTCACAATTTAACTCAATTGTTTCTCTGTCAAATTAAGTTTACAACAAACAACACTTAAAGCCCCCTCTTACACAAACACCTTTAATCACTTCACAAACAACACAAAACATTTATGACACGAAACTGCTATATATCAATACATTACGAATGTGGTATTGGTCCGTGGGGGGGGGGGGTCGTTGGGTTCAAGTAAATCCCCTTCCCCCTTGCCAAAATTCTTTCAAAATCCTACATTTTTTACCAATCTGAGCACTATTAAGTGATTTTGGGCCAAAATTATCAATTGTGACCCCTTGGTTTGTTTTGAAAATTGATCCCCTGGGCTAAATTTATTACGAGCCTGTAATATATTTGATGTATTGCTCCGATTTCTTCTGGCAAATCACTGATAATAAATTAGGAAACGTGCATTAGATTAACTGATACAAGTGGTCCATGCTAAAACAAAATTAAAACTTGTATTCTCTCACATTTCACAATTCATGTGTTTTCTGTTATCCATATAATATCTGAGATATAAACCAGGGATATAAACAACAGATTAGTCCATGATGGAATACATTTGTTTCTACTACAATTGGACCATTTCTTTTAATTAAAGCTGGTTTTATTAACCTTTCTTTGTTTTCCATTTCCAAATACATATACAATATGTTTAGTTGTTTGATAATGAAAATAAAGAAGCGGGGACATTTTACATTTATTCTTAATATTTCATCTTACAAAGCGATGATCATGCTTTGAGCAAATTGGTGCATGGTAGAACAAACTGATGTAAATAACATATTGGCACACGGTACATGTATGTCAGAGCAATATGATAAGTAAAACTTTAATCCCCAATTATTCAATTTCTTTAATATGAGTTTCGTTAACACTGATACTAATCCGTTTGTTAGAGGCAATGGATTAATTTCCAACAGCCAACAGTTCTAAGTTTCACAAAAAATAATTCAAAAATTCAGTTTTTCATATTTATTTGATTGTATAATGTCCCTAATGTTATGATTAACATTGTGTTAAAATTTGGATTAAATTGATTGACTCAATGGAAAGTTGATTTTTAACTAATGGATTTCCTCACATTTTCACTCCATTGTTTGTCAGCCATATTAAGTTTAAAAAGCTAAAAACATTACGCATTTAATACAGGCCTGTACCTAACGAGTAACGACCCACCCCCCTTGGTCAACAATTCTTTCAAAATCATGCAGATTTTCATCATTCACATTCATGTATTGAATTCAGAGCAATATAAGTAATACTTTAATCCCTAAGTTTTTTCAATTTCTATGAGATGAGTTTTGTTCATTAATTACTAATCTGTTTGTGAGAGTTAATCCGTTTGTTGGAGTTAATGGATTAATATCTAGAGCCGATTGTTCTAATTTCCACAAAAAAATAATAATTTGCAAATTAAATTATTCATATTTGTTTTATTGTATAGAATCCTTATTTCTATGATTAACATTGTGTTAAAATTTGGATTGAATCGATTAACTCATTGGAAAGTTAATTTTTTGATTTTTAATTGATGACTTTTTCACACTTTTACTCCATTGTTAATATTAATTTCAATCAAGTTAAATTTCTTTCTTCTAAACATTTATTTGTAAATATTTTTCAAATAGAAATATAACAATCAAAATAAAATAAGTGTGACATGTGTAAGTAATAGAGATGAGAAGGCCAGTAGAACGGTTGATCCTATTAACCATGCCATGCTGTGCATTCTTTGTTTTGTTTGGTTAAGTAATTAACCAGATGTATTGTACATCAAGTTGGACGAGAATAATCGAGTATAATATTTTTTAGAACCAAAATAATACAATATAATTTGATATATTCTGCTTAGATTGGAAAATACTAGAAAATAATATTTTTTAGAATGGAAAAAAATTCTATATAAACTGCAATCATCAGTTTGGATTGATAAATATGACCAAATACTATTTTAGAAAGACAAAATAAATATAAATTGGCGCAAATAATTCTAAAAAATAATATTATACTGGGAATAAAACATCCTGCTACATTTTCTTATTGAGATAATCGGATTTGGTAAATGTTTATATGTACAAATAATATATTTGGATCTCACTTATTTCTAATTATATTTTATTAATCTCTATATAATATAGTATATTATGCTGATTATATTTTTTCCTTCATAATATAATATAATAATTACAATACTGAATGGAAATACTGTATTATTACGCATCTTTTTTCACAAATATCCGGAAATAAAACATCTTTATATATATTATTTTATTGATTTCACCAAGTGATCGTTCCGGGCCCTAATATAATACTAGTCATCATCCCTCAATATTACAAATCATTTTGCATCTCAAAAGTTATATAATGTAGTAAATGTGCTCATCTTTGTCACAAATTTCCGAATTATTATTTACAAGTAACATAATAAGGAATAAAAAAATAAATATTGAAACGTGGATAGGCTTTGCAAGCTATCAAATGACTGCTTCCGGTTGCTAACCTTATAGAGGGGGGGGGTGTAGTTTCTGTGTGATTTAATTTTATAAAATTGTCAAGTGTTTATGACCCTAAACATGTGGTGTGCATAAGCTAATAAACTGGCAATTTTTGGCCATAGTTGATACTTAAAAGCACACAAACCAAGGTAACCGCTTTCAGTTTTTACTTTTCATTTCCTGGGACATTTGAATATTACATAATTGTTATACAATAAAGCATTACAAAGAAACATCATTCGAGGCTTGATATATACATCCTTCTTCAAAGGACTTCATTTATGCTTAAATTATATACTTGTAAGTACCCTTACAGCAAGGATGGATATATAACCCATTCCCATTTTCTCCTTTTTCATTTTACTTTTACAAAATCCAATGCATTATTAGTACAATGAAATTCCTACAATGAAAATATAGCTCCGTGAAATTATGTAGAAAAACGTAATAATTGTGTAGTTATAAGCAACTCAATCTGACATATAAAAATGCATGCACTATGTGCCTGTTAACATATTTCAATACATAGTATGTTCGTTTGGTCGTCTCACTTGGTTAAACTTTGATGAGAGTCCAGCGTTTCTCGACCTTCATACAACAGCATGAGTTCCTATATTGGGTTAAGAATCACCGAAGTTTACAATACAATATCATTTACTTATCAGCCCAAATATGAATTACATGGGTGATTGCATTGCTGGACATAAATGACTACTAGGTAGCAAGACACCAGGTATGTAACTTCCGAGCTAGGGATATTTTATTTTAATTTATTTGCCTATGTATCAGTCAAACTACTTTTATATGTATATAAGGAAAATGTAAGCGTCCAGATATCTACTTGATTGTATATATCAATGCAACGTTTAGCTTAAAAGTGATCTCTCAGTTTGACGTCCAGATATGCATTCTGATATCCGTTCTAGATGATTATCACATATTTCAGTTTTACCCATAGGTTAAAGGAACAAAATCATATTTTTCAAATGACAGGGGCAACTGTATACCCCTAGAATATTATTGACATTTGGATGTTGGGTACTTTTAATTCAAACAGTTGTTCTCGAGGATTTCCAACGATTTTATGCAGTACGAACATAATTTTTGTTATCCATTACTTTGGACTTAAAATGTTTTAACTCCGATTAATCGTAATATTAGTGGATTTATTTATTCATTGCGATATAAATGTGATTCAAACAGGATAACGTCTATACTATTTTTCTTATTAAATATATTAAGGATTTAAGCACTGGACTCAATGCTTTGATTCAATATATCATAAGTTAACTGATACTTGCCTTAAACCAAAACCATTTTACCTTAACTCATTGTCTTAAAATTGTGAAACTGATAAGGGTAATCAATTTCAATGAATCTAAAAATAATGATTCATCTGTTGTGTAATATAAGATGGCAATTACACATTAATTAATACTGGTTTCAAATTAACTGGAATGTGAAATAAAATGCCAACATGCACCGAGTGTATATGTGAGGTATGATTTTTGTATTTTTTCTTAGAAAGATGACTCGATTGTCCCTCGGTTCCAATCTGCTAGCTATCGTATGCTGTGTTGTGTCTGTTCTGTGTCAAGGTAGGATTATATATATATATATATATTAATTATAAGATTAGAAGGTTATCTAATAAGTGTAATTTTTGAAAAATTCATTTTGTTTCAATGGTAAAATGAAATGATTCAGCCATTTTGCATCCAGGCACAATGTTGAAAGAAATTGGAACTCAGTTCTTTGCTTGACTTCCTTGTAGGATAGTTCTGCACATTAATGTTATACTACACAGTGCCTGCATGTGAATTCCAGATTATAACCATTTCGTAAAGGACGAGTCATACGGGAGCATTCATGGATGGGGGCACGAAGTCACCTTATCAGGATCCCCCGAGAGAACAAATGCCATGGGCTACTGGGTCGATAACGAGGTGATCTTACCAAAGGGATCCCTGAGAAAGTTCATCATGCAGGTTCGGGCCGGACTGAATGAGCCATACTCAATGGTACTTCATCTGATGATGCCAGCTGTGGACAATGGATTCACCTTCACCGTCATTTGGTCAAAGAACGTCACATTACAACCTACAATGTCATCGCAGAGGGTTGAGGTGAGGCTAGTTTTCACCTTGTAGATTTGACTCAATCAATTCATGGCATAAGGCATGCTGGGCAACTGACTCGCGAATTTTTTACAGAAATGTCCTCTTACAGCTAGAAATGTGTTTTTAAGACGCTAAAACTGTGGGTCCAAATCGATTCTTTAGTCTTATTTTGCCTCGCCTATTCTTGCATTGCATAATTTTAGATACTAGCTCTACGCCCCCTATGCGAAATGGGTGTGAGTCTTCAAGTACAACTATATTGTTTGTGGAATGTTCGTATGTGTTCGGAACAGAGGGAGTCGACGATGCACACCCAATGCACATGCAATTTCCATGATGCCGTCTACGTGCAGCTAGCTTTTATCTGTGTTGCCGTCGTTGAACTGAAATTAAACACGAACTTAATTTTTGATTCGATTGTTTTAGTTTTGGAATTTTTTTCAAAAGAAAACAAGAAAAGGATTTACATCCTTTGCCCCAATTGATTAAACGTACATGTCATTCTAATTTGGATGTCTGTTTTCCAGATTGAAATCCCAGTATCAGAACAGATGCTTATAGAAAGTGGCACCCGTTTTGGAGCAAGTCTATCAAAATCATACGATCCTTTAGAAGTCTGGTACAAAGATTTGTATTCGACTTACAAAGGGAGGTTCTTCGATACCAGCGATCCATACGAATTACAACTTGGAGATTCTGTCACCTTCAACAGACTGCCAAGGTCATTTTACAGCTCCATGTGTGTGCAGATTGAAACAAGTAAGCTGATGATGAGCTAATTCATAAACGACAATCAAAATACAAAAGTCACGATTGTACTTGATAAACTCCTATCTGACCTTAAATCATCATCATCATCATCATCATCATCGGTAATAATGTTGTTATGTTGTAATGTCGTAATGAAGAAATCAGAATCACTGGGTCAGACCGACAGAAACATTTACGTATACAATTTCTAGATAACCCATCTACCAAGAATGAGTACCTGAGTAACTGAACACTTTTTCATTTCAGCGATCGAAGGCCCTGTTGGGCCACAAGGGCCAATTGGACCCCCTGGTCCACAAGGTGACACTGGTTTAACAGGTGAGAGTCACTTGTTCTCATGAGGAAATTAAAAGGGTGTGTGGTCTAAAAGATCACATAAATAAAATAGATTATCGTAAGTTCAATTTCAGCTTAATTTTTTCTTTTTTTATAGTGGCCCGGACGGCCACATGGGAATTATAAATTTCTGGATGTACTGTCTCAAAATGAACAATATATGACTCATTAGCGAAAAGGAGTCTGTCGTATTTCATCATCATTTTATATTTCTTTTACACTATTAGATATGAAAAATATCTATTGTTCGAAATTCTCAAAATTCCAAAATAAACGATAAATCATTAGATTAAAAAATGAATAACCAGAGATTTTACATGATTATCAAGGAGCTGTCCAGAGTATCATACAACTTATTGAATAACACTCGGATATTATTCACAATTCAATTACGCACGCCTTCATCTTCAGACTTCAATGAATGTTCTTCTAATAATGGTGGATGTTCCGATGGATGTCGTAATCTATTAGGAAGTTACGAATGCTATTGCAGTGCTGGATACACTTTGGACACAGATGGAAAGAAATGTAAAAGTAAGTCACTTGGATAAGGAAATGGTTTCTTTTATTCATATGGTATCATGTATGTACGATTTAACTTCACAATCTACATCCACAAAGAATATTTGAATATCAACATATAATTTTAAGATTTTACAAAAGCATGTAGACTAATCAAGGAAGTATCGCATAATTGATTATCCTGTCCTCTCATTCCTCAATGAATCAAACTTAGGCTCGCTTTGTCCTCGCCTATCGACACTTGCTCACTTTTTGTATTTTCTCTTACACTTAATGGATCCCTCAAGTCTTAATGTGTCCTTATGAGGCCCATTCATGTAAAGAGACCCCCACCTTACCACATTCCGAAATGCAGAGTTGATAAAGATTTTATAATGGATGTGATTTTGTTGTTAGATATCGACGAGTGTGCAACAGATAATGGCGGTTGTGATGGTTTGTGTACAGATTTTGATGGTGGCTATAACTGTTCATGCCCAGAGCCTGGCTATCGACTCGGACTCAACAAACATACCTGCAAAGGTAGTAACCTTCATGATTTAAGGATTTAAGCCCTGGTGTCAGTGCATTGTTGCCCGAATCATTCATCTGAGGGTGTTGTTTTCAAATCTTTGAAAGTTTAGGAAACTAAACGGTGATTAGTTGACTTATTGTTTAATGCAGTGCAGTTATAGTAAAAACTATGTTCGGATTGGCTAGAATCGGACATACCTTGCTAGCTATGTGTGAAATATGAACAATGTCTCTCTAGTAGTCGTATGCTGGACATAATTATTAATGACGAAATCGAATCTTTCAAGATAATATTTAAAATTTGTAATAGTCTTAAGGGTCCACAAAGTGCAAAAGTAAAGGATATCTATATAATTAAAGCTTTAACAAAAGCTGTTAAACTGATTTCTCGGATGCAGCATCATCCAGATACCACATACAATGTATCATGGTCCATATAATCTAATTTGAATTAATACATAACTGACCACAGAAAAATTATAAACAACTATTACTTTTATGTTTCAGATATTGATGAATGTCTTTCTGTCCAGTGCTCTGGAACATGTATCAACAGCCCGGGAACCTACACCTGTATACGACTGAGACTTGTTTCTGCTCAAACTGAACCCGATCCGACTGAACAATCTGGTAATAATCATATTATTAAGTTCATAACTTGGTAAATTGGAGATGCCAGAAATGACTTTCTAAATCTAAGAAGTGGTCACAATTTTAGAGTCATATTTTTGCTCACAACCATGTAAATACATAAACATATTTCAAAAATCTCCAATAGTTTAAAAATTTGATTTTATTATGCCTCTGTTGTTTAATTTTTGTAATAAATTTGAAAAAACGTAACAATTCTTATAAATCTGGATATATCGCATCTTAAACTTTCAATATATCTACACTAGCTAATCAGTATTAGCCACTAGGCGAAATCAGAAATTGAGTGTGTTATTAAAAAAGGATGCACTTTGTCCTACATGAAGTATTATCAAACTTAATTGATATGTTCGGAAAATATTTTTTCAGTCATTTCATCAACTCCGTCAACTACTATTCTTGTATGGATGTCTGTGTTAACAGTGACGCTTGCAATATTAATTGTACTCAGTTGTCGAGGCTTTAGGAAAGACTACTGCAAAAAGAGGATCGATTTTGAAAATGAATCAAATGCGGTACCAGTTTTTCGAAGTTCTGCCATTGAAATCGGAAATGACGTCACTACAACACTTCCGGATGAAGCTGTCAGAAGAACAAATCCGACTTATTCAGCTTTTGGAGATGATACAAACGAAGACGATTTGAATTCTCATCCAAAAACATATTCTAACACATTTCATTCGGAGAACAACAATATTGATACGATTTACTAATAGCGATGAATTTATAACTTATGAAGTTATATGTTAACTTTTACCGGGGCTTAATGTCAACGTATTTTTGACATGCACTTCCACCAAATGATAAAAGTAACATAGTATTAGAACATAACGTTTTGCATACGTTCATGTTATAAGAAATTTTGTAATTGCTTAAAGGTGCAACAATTAGTGCAGAGGGGCCATTCAACGATCATCGACCAGTGTCAAAATATATCTAAGTTCGGATATTTCATCAAGACTAACATAGTATTTTTATTATCTACAAAGAAACCCCCTGGATGAACATTATTTCAGCTGATATTCCTCTTGAAACGTGATGAATCTTAAAAATCTATAAATGGGACTCCCTTTATAGAAGCTTTGAATTGAATTTACACTTTTTAATGCTGAAATTGATAGTTTATCCATACATTGATTTTAAGAATCTATAAGTGGGACTCCCTTTATAGAAGCTTTAAACTGAATTTACACTTCTTAATGCAGAAATTGATAGTTTATCCATACATTTTAAGATAATAGGTATGTCAAAGAAGATGTTTAGCCAAATATTGACCTGATAGCTCAGAAAAAATTATAAAATTCGAACCTTCTCTCTACAGTCCTTGTTCCCCTTTAAGTTAATGAAATGTAATTATTATGTATATTGCAAGTGTATTCCAGATAATGAGCAATAGTTTATGTTCATTCTCGATATCATAAAGCGTGAATATGTTTACAGTACTGTTGTTAAAGGCACAGTTTTTGTTAAAACCGACTTTAATCTAAGAAACAGTTATATATAATCATGATTCACATACATGTGTTGCAATAGAAATATGAAAATGATGACACTATATCTTTTATACCATTTCTCAAACTGCAAAAACAACTTCTCAGAATTCGATTAATGATTAAAACAAGGAGTAGTCAGACATCAATAACTATTTTATTTACTTTGCAGACCCCATTCAACATGCAACATTTGTATTTAATCAGGTCGTATGCCTATTTTTTAGCATATCGTATAAAAATCGTAATCATAGAGACTATGTTCGCAAAACAACACGTTGAGTCGCATTGTAACTGATAAGTAGTCAAAGTCCATAGAAAATACTGTAAATCTATAATAGAATATATTTTATTTATTTATTTTAACATAGTTATTTTGAATCATAACGTTTGTATACTCATATAGTTGTATTCTACTATTAATGCAAGGTTCAACACTGTTACAATTATTTGATGTAAAACTCTAAATAGAATTGGTTTATTGTTTTCATTGTAGCTTTTAAAATAATCATGAATTACGGTTAATTTACCGTCTAGATTGGATTGTTGACACTGCAATTGAATGTGTCCACGTTTCTAATCAAGTAATTTGAACGCTTGTGAAGTAATATGTGTACGTTTGTGGGGTCTTTTTACATTCAGTAAAATAATGAGCTCTCGAAAAGAAGAAAGTTTAGCTGAAATTATATCCGAGGATTTTTTACAGTGTGGAATTTGTCTAGAGGATTTCAAATCTCCGAAGACACTCGCTTGCCTTCATACATTCTGCCACGATTGCCTGAAAGCTTTCCACGCCAAGTGTTCTGATCAAACTGTTGCGACTTGTCCAACGTGTAGGGACGAGACCCCGCTGAAGGACTGCGACATTCAATCTCTGAAGGACAATTTCGTATTGAGCAATTTACAAAACGTAGTGTCCTGGATGGCGTCTAATGTTCCGGGGAAACCTAGTGTTTGTGATAATTGCGAAGCTGACGGCCAGAGAGAGACGGCGGTAGTGAGATGCAATGATTGTGACGAAAACTTATGTGGACAGTGCTATAAGGCTCATTCCCGGATGAAGCTGACCAAGAACCATAAAGTGGACCATCTATCGGGCCAAGATTTGGCCACTGAGAAGAAAGTCATCGCTCCAACAGCCGGGAGGGCGGGTGGCCAACTGGATTCAACGACATTTGATAGATTCAAAGAATTCAAATGCGAGTCACATTCTGAAAGTGTCAAGCTATTCTGTATCAAATGCGAGGTCCCCATTTGCCTTATTTGCTACGCGACGGAACATACCAACCACAACTGTTTGAATTGGAAAGATGCGGTCGAACAAGAGTGTCAGAAAGTACGTGGAATTTTAACCGAGATGGCTAAGAAGACCGACGATGCCAAGTCATCACTGCAGGCTGTAAACGAAGATATGCAACAGCTCGAAGCACGAATGAATGATGTCGTCACTAATATTGGTAATAAACGAATAGCATTTTACTCCCTAGTAGACCACTACGCTAATAGTCAGATAAACAAAGTCCGAGAGACTCTAAAAGGTGAAATCAAGCAGCTGGATATGAAACGAAACGAAATCTCGGATGGCATAGAGATCAGCCAACAAGAATTAAAAATGGCCGAACACGTACTTCGAGAAGGTAGCGATGGTGAGAAGGTTGCGTTAAAGAAAAAACTGCGCGAGAAGATACAGGCATTGGAAGATATAAAAGGTGGCGTGGAGGTTGGTCAGCAAAGCACTCGCGTCCAATTCCAGCCGGGAATCCTTACGGAGGGTACAATTGAAAGTCTTTTCGGAAGAGTTTACCTCAGTAAACCAAAACCACCACAGTCTGAAAACAACGAAGCTATTGATACTTTGACTACCGTTGCTGCCAACGTTGTAGAAACACGGCAACCCATGGTCTCAATGTCGACACCAGTACGGATCGAACCACCCACCCCTCCACCTAAGAAACCAGGCGGAAAATCACCACTGATGGTAATCGAAACCCGAACTCCAAGCGACAACCACGCATGCAATATCACCGGACTGGCACTGCTACAAAATGATAACATTGTCATCGCCGACAGTGCCAACAGCGTCGTGAAGCTTTTTGCGCACGAGGGTTATATTCTGAAAGAGATGCGTAAGTCCCATGAGTTGCTATCTCCGTATAGCATTGCGATCGCCCAGGACGACAGAATACTCGTCACAGATGGTGGTAACATCAAGGCCACCTTATCAAGTGCTATGCGTAGTAACGTGGTTCTCGACTGCAAAGTCCAAGCTCTCGGAGGCATTGCTTTACACCCAGTAACTGGTAATGTTTATGTTACTGATCGACAACGTAGCAATATTTACGTCTGTGATGTGCGAGAAAGGAAAATAATACGGGCATTGACTGAAGCAGGCCACTTAAAATCAAGAGGTTGTACGTATCTTGCCATCAACTCGAACAACCAACTGGTTGTTTCATTTCCTGTTAGCGGTGTTGTACAAGTGTTCACCCTCATTCCTCAAGTGTCGCTTTTAGGAACGTATGGTCCAGTGGGGTTCAGTCCAGGTGGTCTCTGTATCGACAGAGAGAACAACGTCATCGTTGCTGATATGAACGCCAATCGAGTGGTCGTTCTGTCTCCCACTGTACAGATTATGAAATCAGTCCTGCTGACTCAGGAAGACGGGATCGAAAGGCCACAGGTCGTGGCGCTAGACAAACAAGGCCGACTGCTCGTCGGAGAGGAAAGAAGTGGTAAAGTGAAAATATTTCCCTACGAAAAACCATGAACAGTGAGCAGAGGGTAATACACAATGAATGATGGACTTTGCGTAATGAACAGTGAATAATGAACAGTGAGTAATGAACCAGTGACCAGTGAGTACTATGCAGATACAAGAACTTCATGTAGGCCTGGTATCCGAGCCCCTTGATAAATCATTGTACCGTGTGTGACACTCCGATGAAACAAGCACACGGTACATACTCACGGTATGGCGTGAATACTACAATAAACAGCGAAAACAATATTTATTACAAATTATATATGCTAAAATGAGGAGTGCAAATAGAGTTGTGTTAACCATTAACCAGAAAACTGTTAATCGTGTCTGGTTAATACCCCTGTGAAGTCAAATCAGAGTACTAGTTAAGTTTATAATGGGAAAATTATGAAAATCATGATATGATGTAATTTTTTTTTTGCATGTACATGTATTTAATGCCGCTACAGTTGGTTGTAAATATAAAATGGTGTGGCAAAATTGTATAAAATACAGTTTACATAAAAATATAAAATCAGCCATTTTGCAGTTTATGGGTACATGAATAGCGATAGCGTCCTAAATCATCACTCGGTATTTTGATTTATAAAGTTCAGAAAATAGATGTCACGACGATAGATTGTTATATTCTCTATTGTGCGTTGATTTTACGTGTTGATTGTGAACAATAAACATCTAGGCAAAAATTGCAAAAATTCATCGAAATAATGTCCATAGACACTGGTCAGTATTAAGCAAATATGACGGCCGTAACCTTCGCATCTAATATGGCGGACAGTAATTGTCGATTTCGATATTTTCAGTTTTCATCAAATTAAACTACTTTATAGTTGATGTAAGCCATTCGATATTTGAACCAAATCAGGCGTATGTATGTATATATGTATACATGTGTATTTGACATAGGAACTCTGGAGTGTATAATGATTAATTTGTTCATATATTGTGCATTGGCTCCACAGTTGAACGATAAGTCACACCGCTTAGGTTAGGTTAATGGGATTTTGTTTTTACAGATGATAAATCATCTCATCCCAGAACAAAGGGGGCCCTTTAAACTGCTCAAACTTTTCTGGTGGCCATCTCCTTACCAGACCCGATTCGATCGAATTCCAAAATATGTCGCTAAACTGTGCAAATGCATCCAAAACAAAACAAATACTGTAGTTCTGAATTACTTAACGGGATAGGTCGTTTTTAGAGCTTGAAGTTCAGGTTCCAATGCTCAAAGGACAAGTTGATGCGTATTTTACAACCAAATCAGATGTTGAGAATCTAAATAAAATCGAAACTAAGGCGGCTATACTCAGATCAAAATCAAAATGGTACGAAGAAGGCGAAAAAAATAGCAAATATTTCCTCTCCCTTGAACACAAAAATTCACTTAATAAAACCATAACTAGACTCCAAAAAGACGACGGTACTATAATTACTAATCCAAATCAAATTTTGGAGGAAGAAAAACGCTTTTACGAAAATCTTTATAGAGAAACCATAACCGATGATACTTTACACGTTGTACAAATGGATGGTTTTATTGAAAATTTAAACTTGAAAAAACTTTCTAAATTTGAAAGAAACTCATGTGAGGGCGAACTTACCGAAAAGGAGTGCGCCGTTTCGTTAAAAAATATGCCAAATGATAAGACACCTGGAAGCGACGGATTTACTACAAACTTTTATAAATTCTTCTGGATTGACATAAAAACTTTTGTTGTTAATAGCCTTAATTATGCTTTTCAAACCGGAGAAATGTCAATTTGTCAAAAACAAGGCGTTATAATCCTTATTCCTAAAAAAGATAAAATCAGAACGTTATTGAAAAACTGGCGCCCAATCACCCTCTTGAATACGGATTATAAAATTGGTACTAAAGCAATAGCTAATAGAATTAGAAAAGTACTACCATCTATAATCGATTTTGACCAAACTGCTTACATTGAAGGAAGGTATATAGGAGAAAATATCAGATTAATCGAAGATATGATAAATTATACATCAAATGAGAACATTTCTGGTATCTTACTACAAATTGACTTCGAAAAAGCTTTTGATTCCATTAATTGGAAATGCATTGAAAAAGCATTGAAACTTTTTAATTTTGGTGAAACTTTGGTCAAATGGGTCAAAACTTTCTATAAAAATATACAATCGTGTGTATCAAATAATGGATTTCAATCAAATATGTTTTTCCCGGCAAGGGGAGTCCGCCAAGGCTGCCCCCTATCGGCTTACCTATTTATCATTGTAGCTGAACTTCTAGCAATATCGATCAGACAAAATAAAAACATAAAAGGTATACAGGCAAATAACACCGAAATCAAAATATCCATGTTCGCAGACGACACTACTCTATTCTTGGATTCTATAGACTCTTCAGAACGTGCACTAAATTGTTTAAACTCATTCTCACAAATCTCTGGGCTAAAACCAAATTTAACTAAAACTGAGGGTAGATGGCTAGGACCTTATAAAATCAATCCTCCTTTCATACCGCCCGGAAGTCTTCTATCTAAATTACACATAAATAACGATAAATGATGTGCCTTGGGCATTTGGTTCAGTCAGGATCTAAATGAAAGAAACGCTCTAAACTTTTCCTCAAAAGTGAAAGCAATTGAGAACCTCTTTAAGATATGGACCTGGAGAAACCTAAGCCTTATAGGAAAAAACGTCATAATAAAAGCTCTTGCAATATCAAAATTAATGTATCTAGCATCCACCATTATTGTTCCAAACCACATCATTGAACAAGTTCAACAACTTATTAACTCATTTTTATGGAATGGAAAGCCACCTCTGATAAGTAATTCTACTACGATAGGAGAAATAGAAAACGGGGGAATAAAATCCGTTCTTTTTGACGCACAGATTAAAGCATTACAAATTCAATGGGTGAAACGTCTGTATAATAAAAACGAGTCTAAATGGAAACATTTTTTCTATAAAGAATTCCCAAATCTCGAATCTAAAGAAATCTTTCATGCAAAGTTCAAAGAGCATACTTTTAACAACTTACCTGCTTTTTATCTCTCGATGATGAAAACCTGGAGCTTAATTCACAATGCCGAACCTTATGACAAGTCCACCGTTATGAATGAATCAATTTGGAACAATAAATGGTTAACAATTAATAATGAAAGTGTCAACTACCCTGATTGGAAAGCTCGAAACATATTTAAAGTAAAAGATTTAATAAATGAAAATGGAGATTTTCTAGGATACGAAGAATTCACCCTAAAATATGATATCTTGACACCCTTCGTAACATACTACGGCATAATACACGCAATTCCACGCTCGTGGAAAACTCTCTTAAAAAACGAAAATGATAATATCAATACACTAGGAGTTGATGACTTACAAATCAAAAATTCAATTATAAATATCAAACATATTAGTACCAAAAGAATATATTGGCACATCGTACAAAACAAATTTAAGGAACCCGTAGGAAAACGATATTTCAATGAAAAATTTGACCTGACAGAACAAGAGTGGAAATCTATTTTTAGACTACCTTTTCAAGTTGCGCGAGAGCCAAAGATCCAAAGTTTCCAATACAAACTACTACTTAACCTCACCCCTTGTAACTTATTTCTGTTCAACAGAAAAATTAAAGAGTCTAATCTATGTGATAAATGCAATCGTGGTGCAGTAGATGACACCCAACACTTCTATATAGAATGCGCGACAGTCGCGAACTTTTGGAATGAAATATCCGTCCTATTTGACAATATACTTTTGAGAGACCGGGATATATTATTAGGAAAAATTGGCAACCGTGACGATCGCGATACAATTCTAAATTATTGTTTGCTATACGCGAAAAACTACATTCACAACTCCAAAATTGGAAACTACGACATTAGTGTGAACGGTTTTAAAAATACTTTAAGAAACAAAATTAAAGATGAATTAAAAATATCTACAGAAAACAAAAACCGGCAACTTTTTATCGGGAAATGGAACTCAATACTGAATAAATTAGACATACCATTTTAATACAACAATGTATCGTTGCACAAACCTATATTTTATTATTTTATTATTTTTGCTGTCTGTACTGTGTATCTTTTTTGCTTTTTATTCGAAATGAGATCATGTAACTGTTATGTGCCTTAACTCTATATTATCAAACTGTCTTTACTATCACCAATGTATGCACATGTATGTAAATTTATAGTGTGAGAAATAAATAATGAATATTAAAAAAAAAAAAAAAAGTTGATGCGACATCATAAACACCAGCTCTCGGTCCTTCTTCCGGTAGCCGATTTTCGTAAGATATCTTTTCCATTTAAACCAATTTAATTTCCTTCTAATCGTAGCGTGTAGATAGCGCATAGTCTCTGGTTTCAAAAAGTGTACGTTAGTATTCTTCAAAACTGGTTGAATAAGATAATAAAATAAATGTCAGGCAACATACGAAGGTGGAGAACCAAAACGACGGCACAGCCGCGGAATTTGACTCGCGTAACTGTTCAACGCGTGTCGGTTCAGCTCCAAAATGGAGGAACATCCGATATATAAGGGTAGGTGGTCCTATCAAATTATGGTCCTACTCTCCATTGATTTAAATGGTCACCTACATACAACTCTTTCCCTTATTATCTTATACTCAATCAGGGCAAGTAAGGGGCGTTAAGAAAGGGGACCATAATCCCTGGGGGACTATAATTTCTTTTACACCGGCATTGCACCTCGATGGACAAAATTGAGATATCCAGGCATTTTAAATGACGTGTCGCAAAAAGGTGGCGCATTTGTTTTTTAAGGGTATCGCGTGAATGTAACTTTGATTCCCCGGATTATAAGATAACATTCTAATTAAAGTTATATATCATTTTAAAGCTGTTTCGATGAAAATTTTAGATCAACTACACTCCGTTCACATTTTTTGCGCGTTTTTTACCAAAACATCTGGCAAATATCCCATGTTGACACGTTACATTTTGAATTATTTTTCGTCTTTAAACGCTCATAACTCGAACAATATATGACTATTATACTTATTTTTCGTCTTGATAAAGGTAGATGGAAGTTTATTTCAAAGGATGAATTTTAGTAAGCGTCCCATATTGTGACGTCATAGAGTCTGAAAAATAGAATCTGTTGACAGCGACCTTTTTTGCTCATTTTTTGGTACCTTCAACTTTTCAGGTGTACATAAAACAAAAATACAAGATCAATTTTTAATAAATCATACATGATTATTTTGCTCCTAAACTCTAGTTTATTAATAAATAGTTGATTTTGTTCACAAAAGTATGTGTTTTCTGTTGTATGTGGAAAAGTGGAGGACGAAAGGTTTTCAAAATTCATTAAAATAGGGCTAATTTACGCCATTCGCCTATTTTCAAGCACAGCAACACGTATATTTATTTCACCTAAAATATCAATTGATTCGTGTTTTATGATGCTCCTAACCCATTGTTAATACATAAACAATATCAGATTTATTCGCCTTAAATATTTTGAGCTATAGATGCAAATGTGGAGGACGAAAGGATTTCCATAAGTGTTCATTTTTCTCAAAAACGTCACATTCTATCATGTTAAAAGCGAGGATCCTCTGGATTACGCCACAAAATGTGTAACAATGCGTGCTCGAGCTTTTTGCGACACGTCAATGCTATTTTAGTGTATATTCGGTCACTAAGAGATTATTCTGTATCCATTGTTGTTATGTTGTTAAGAAAATTAACCAGTTGTCCAGATTAATATGAAACAGTAGCAAAATTTTGATTTTATCTGTAAAACCTGTACTATAATTCAACTTTACCATATATTTGATAAGATTTTAACGAGTTTTTTAATATCTATGGCTTGATTGAAACGTCAATTATGAGTTGTGAGAATGGTGTGATAATATAATGTGTTTATGAGAAGAAAAAATTAGATTCAAACTGCGCATTCACAGTGGGCGCACTCCAGTTACCAAGGCTATTTTAACAACACAACACAGCCTCTACGCAACGCGAATACACAATATGTCAGAAAGTGTATAACTTTACCCATGCTCTCATTGTTTCAGGAAAAGAAAATCATCCTCCAGACTATCACTTTATCTAAAAACAGAACTTAATCATGCAATAGCCCAGTTGCATCTCAATTACTTATCTTCTACAGTACCATCCAAACATCACTTCATCAAAGAGATCAACCTTGATAGTAAATCGATAAAATAATAATATTTCATCTGGAGACTAAATATGAATACTAGCACATCTTGTAATATGCTGATCAATGCCTTAAGTATTCATGAGATAAAAAAATGAAATAAAAATCGATGTTAATATTCCAGCTGGAAACACCGAGATAGCGTTTATTTATTCACTTGTTACAGATCACTAGTGTATGTACGACCCGACGTGCAAATAACACTGATCCTCACCTGGTTACAAAGACGTGACGTTTTCATAACAAAATGGATGAACTTCCGTCGGAGGAAATATTTATTTCATTCATTTTCACCAAGAAGGAGATTGATTTGTATCTAAATATACTCCTCAAAATTATATTAATGGTTAACATCCGCCCTTAAGAAAAAAGCCATGGTAACCATGGTATTCCATGGTGCGTCCATGGTAATCCATGGTTTTCCATGGAAATTCATGGTTTTTCATGGTATTTTCCATGGAAATTCATGGATACCCATGGTAATCTTCCATGGATATTTACCATGATTTTCCGTGGTAATTGGTGGTTTGGTAATTGTTTTTTCATGAACATGCCATGTTTTTACCATGACACTTGAGTTGTAAAATCAACAATTTTAGCAGGTTTTGTTTTTACCAAAATCTTCAAAATTGAATCAATATTTTAACGAATGAATCCAAGCTGGATTGAGAATTAGTCTCATTAATCATAGATAAAAGAATATGACCCCCCCCCCACCCCAAAATCTTTGAGAAAGTCAACCTTCTTGACAAAAGCTGGTTTCAGGCCTAAAATACAACCATGTTTTTACAATCTGAATATATGTTTAGTACATTCTGTACATAGTGTCATATGACAAAGAACTGTTTACTTAATATTTTTTTAATTGATGATTTGACCCCACAATTAAAAGTAATAATTTGTTTGTTGGGATTTGCTATCATTTAACTTTGGCACTTATGTAAAAAAAGACAAAATAAGTGATAAAATCAGCTCACTGGATTCCCTATATTGCAGACTGAATAAACATTTTTACTTGGAGTAAATCCTATTTGGTTTTATTTGATCAACAATGAGTTTTTGACTTGCACTGTCTACACTCACAGACAATAATAATTACTGAAGAGGGAGCATTAGAAAGAGTAAGATTATCATATATAATAACAATTAAGATCAGAATATTTAAGAATTATACAAATGAACTCTTATAATCTGTTGTAAAGAGATCAACCTTTTGACATTAATTTGAGAGTTAAGACACCTAATTAACATAGAATAATGGCAACCAAATATTTAAAAATTATGCAAATGATTATTTATTCCTATTCAAAGACAAATCAATTTTAATTACTTATACTATGTTTCATGTTTTAAGCCAAATGGTGTTGTTAACCCCCTCCCCTTCCTTCATGCAACTTCTTTTTAAATATAATATTCTTACATAGACAAATTGACATTTCAGTTTGCAGCCATAGGCTTGTGTTTAATCCCCCATCTCAATTTCAAGTCAAAATTCTGTAAAAGTATATACTTTTCTGTGGATTTTTTCAGATAATATGCTTATAAAAGTTGAATGGGACTTAATTTGGAGAAGTTCATTTAGAAACATAATGTATTATTCATTTTTCCAAACAAATAGCCCATGGAAAACCATGGACTTTCAAAAGATCAAAAGAATAATCATGGAAAACCATGGCTTTTGATTGCACTTTCCAAAACATCAAAGAAATAACCATGGAAAAGCATGGCTTTCGATTGCAATCAACCGTCTTCCATGACTTTTGATTGCAGTTTTCTCAACTTCAAAGAAAGAAACCATGGTTTTTGATTGTATTCTCAAATGTACGAAATGTAATTTAAGAAAATGAGTTATTTATTTCTTAAATTACTTCATATTGATTTTTAAAACTGAAAATTAAAGAAAGTATTGAAATAAAACAGAGCTTGGGCTAGTTTGACTTAATCTTTTTCAAAGGAAAGAAGTGTTTGGCCTAAAAAATAAGCAATCTCTATCTAGTCTTGATCTACACAGACCTTTGCACAATTGTTTTTGAAATCTTGTGGCCTACTCTCTGCTCTGCTGTTTCACATATTTTCTCATTTGTAAGCTGAGTCTAACATTCGATGAATGTTCTTGCTATACCTTCAAAATGAAATGTCCACCCTTTTTTCTCAATGATAAGTCTCAGTCTAACTGGGATATATCATCAAAACATTAATTTTGGAGATTTTGGTAAATACAAATCCTACCAAAATTGTTGATTTTACATCTCCATGACACATCCATTAAAAACCAATTACCAAACCAACAATTACCACGCAAAATCATGGTTAATATCCATGGAAGATTACCATGGGCGTCCATGAATTTCCATGGAAAATAACATGGAAAACCATGAATTTCCATGGAAAACCATGGATTACCATGGGCGCACCATGGAATACCATGGTTACCATGGCTTTTTTCTTAAGGGCGGTTACGGAAAAGCTAGTCAGTCATGAGTAAATATATCCAGCAGTACCAATAATCGAGTGAGAATTCCTCACTTCTGTAACGACCCTTGGGCACGTCCGTCGGGGAGCTGTAGTGTACCGCTCTCGAGTCCGACGCTCTACCCCTGAGTCATAAGGGCTAGCCACTACAGCTGAGACTGTAGTAGCGACTTGTTATGGAAGGTCATTACACCATCCCCCTCTAGAAGACGACGTCCCATAACTGAGTGTAACTGAGTCACAAGGGCAATCCCACATCTGACACCAATGTAACGACCCTTGGGCACGTCCGTCGGGGAGCTGTAGTGTACCAAGCCAGATACTAGCCTCAAAAGAGAGTGTGCTCCCGTTCGGGAATCGAACCCTTGACTTGCTATCGAAGGTCATTACACTTCAATAACCAGCAGGTCTATAAAGTCTCGGTTGCGTTGTGTTATAACGTCGTCCTGGCTCTTCTTGCTTCATCAAGCTTCGGACCTATCCTCGAGAGAACGTACATGTATTGATTGAGCGTGGGAACCGACGATGGTCCCGCGTGCTGAAGCGAGGGATTTCTCACACGATTGTTGGAGCCCTAATTGGATGTATTACTCATGGCTGGTTCGCCTTTCAGTAACGTGATAATACAATTAACATAAAGGTAAAATATTTGGATACAAATTGACCTCCTTCTTGGTGAAATGATAAAAGTAAAAATTTCCCCCGACGGAAGTTCATCTATTTTGTTATAAAGACGTCACGTCTTTATAACCAGGTGGGGATCAGTGAATATATTTGATCATACTTTGTTTTTTGCGGTGAAGAACGTAGGGTGGTATACACACCAGCGATCTGTTTTTGTTCTTATCAAAGCGATTTTAACATCCGAGATGCAGCACGCTATATTGATACTCGCTTTTCTTGCCATAGGATCAACAGCCAGTAGTATGTATTCTTCTTTTATTCATCATTTCATATTTTGGAAGAATTACATTATCAAAGACAGCATTTCAGGACATGTTCAAGGTTCCTTGTTTATCATGTTAAGTCAATGCACACTTGTTTACTGGTGTTTTGCATCATGACATGTAACGTTCAATATAAAATATTATCGTATGATCTCAATGTCAACAAAAATGTTTTTTCAACTTGCTTCAAATTGAAAAAAATTAATCATTTAATTACAAATTCTCAGAAATAAGACTTGACCTTCACTGACCTTCTCATGGTAAAAAGGTCTTTTTTCAACTTGCTTTAAATTGACCATCTTTTCAAAATCATCTACAAGTTCTCAGAAGCTCAAATCTGACTAAGATTGAACTCATGATATTGTGAGCAACTAGGTGGTGACATTTTTCATGTAAATACCTTGTACTACATATTGTTGAGAGTAAATATCATAAATAAAAAGGGTATCTTTATTTGTGTGTAGTGATGAGATGTACATGTAGACACCTTGCAGATGATTGATTAATTTTGATCGTTAATACAAAAATCTCTCAATGAGTAATATACCTACAAAATATTTCTAGTACTTTTGAATCACCCCTTGTATCTAATTTTGATTAAATTTCACCAAACTGATATTTCAAAATAAATATGATATAAAACACGGAACTGATTTTCTCTTTTACATTTGAATAGGCTGGGATATTTATATAGAAAACATAATTGCTCAGTCTAAAGATGCAAGTGGAACTACACATGCTGATAAAGCTTGTATCATAGGACTTGATGGAGGAGCTATATGGACAACTGCTGGTCATCCAAATGTAAGTAGAAACACCAGTATATCCGGTAACGAAGATGACTGCACTAAAACTAAAAACGAGCAACATAAATGCGCATGAATAATCAGCAACAAGCATGTGCAAAATACTATAGTAGTACATGTATTTAGCCTAATGCTTTCAGGCTCTTAAACTACAGGGACAAGAAGGGGTCAACATTTCAAATCCATTTATAAGTAAAGATTTTACCTCCTTCATGGCTGGTGGGATTTTTGCGGAAGGGATCAAATACCAGTTTCTAAGGGTAGAGGATGATAAAATAGTATTAGCCAAGAAAAAAGATTCAGGGGCTTTAACGATGCAAGCAACTAAAACTGGTAAGCCCTTTGCCCCATTATGCTTTAGTATTATCGGTCAAGACAAGTAACTTAGTCAACATTCGATATTCGTATGTTCATCAATATTTACTAAGAATGGTGCCACAATTGAAGTAAACCTCTGGTTAATTATTTTCAATAAACCTATCAGCAAACTCGTAAATGATAATTTTGATGTTCTGTTACATATTGGTGAAGCAATCTTTGGGATATGACCTAAATTTCTGATTTTCCACTGTGTCCCTGTATACCCCTACTTCAAAAGATATATGTTATTCGTCATTTTTCATTGAACCAACCATAAATGTATTTTTTCTTGTTTACATACTGAATGAACTTTCGGTTTTCAAATATTGCAAGACGGTACTGCATTTATTTGTTCAGGATATCGAGCAATCAAATGCGTGTCAATTTACACTGTAATATCCTACATACTTATATTTCAAGGGTAGTTTTGAAGAATAATCAAGAAAATCCATGTTTTCAAATGGATTCATCCTTGTCAAAGAACGTGAATGAGGATATGCCGTTTGAAAAACTCACAACATGTTTCAAGTTCTTACAATTCTTGGTTAAAAAAAATAATTTGAAAGTTGTGATTTCGAATGTAATATCCTGCTCAATGAAATTTGTTGATATTTGTGAATTTTTCTTTCGAAATGCACATTGCTGGATAACAGAACCTTGCCATGTTCGAGATGCACGAAAAGTGTTTTGTTAATACTTGACGTCGTACGGATATTTGGATGTGATTGACGTTTTCGTTAATCTCCTACCACTGTAATTTCCAACTTAATTTTTGGAAGCCAAATGTGATAGTCACGAATTACTCAGATGCGAGTAGGTAGTTACCAGTTTCGCCACCAGGTGGCTGATTCGGGGGAAATAACATGGCAGGGTATTGCAAAATTCCCTTAAACTTGAATATGCATCAGTTTTAATGGTTCACTTTTCAAATTACCCTTATGTATGTGATAGTTGTACAAAATAAAATATGTCCAGTAAAAGAAAATATTATCTGCCCAACACAAGAAAAGATATTTCACTTTTTGTAGTTTTACAACATGGCGTCTATGGGGAATCTCCCCGACCTAGAAGTCACATTTTCAAAGAAAATTAAATTTTCAAAGTTAATAAACTCTTTTCAAAACCACATTTTTAGATGTAATTTTATATGTAGATTCCAAATATGACACCAGTTTGACTGAATTGTGCATTTTTAATGACGTAAATCAAGATTATTTCTACTCGCATCTAGGATATTGATATTTAAGTCACACGTTGATGCATACATCATGTGTGTACATTAACTGTCTAATACATGCCAACTTACATTTATATAAATATCCACAATTAACTCAAATCACCAATTCTCGAAACGGTTTATTATTTAACCTGGTGAATTAAATGTTTCATTTTGATTCATAATTATGGTATCGGATTTGAGTATAATATAAGTCGAGGCTTAGACAAAGCAATAAAATTACGTGAAACCTTTTGTGAAAATTCGAACGATTTTTCAAGAATCCTCCTTCAAAGTGATACCAAAGTGCTCCCCGGGAGTGGAAATTTCGTCTTGTGTAATCAAAATAATAGAGCGGGTGGTTTGAAATTTTGTTTGAGTTTAGTTTACATCTATAAATTGAAAAACATATCGCCTAATTGAGAAGTACATGCATATTTTAGCGATCTATCACTATAAAGGGCTAAATATTGTGCAAAAACAGGAGTTGACACGCTTACATTTGAAAATGAAATTTCCTACATAATCGTCGACTCATGTTTAAAAGTCATGAAAACAAGGTTGAACACAAAACATTGACCCAGTTACTGTCTATTCAGCATGGGTTCACTAAGGGAAATATTATTAATGACTTAAATCGTTTACAGTTAAGTTGTATTCCAAGAAACTTATCAATTTAGAAATGCAAAATGTTCAATTTTGTTTTTCAATTATAAAAAACGGCACCTGTAGAGAACAACGTTTTCAAAATTTTTTAGAACGGAGATATTTACTTATGCAACATTCATTGGCATGTGTCAGGGAATAAATAGGAAGAATATGCATTTTATTCTATATCTTGTTCCTGAAGGAGTTTGTTAAAGAGCGGTATATCTTAACGTACTTTTATCACCTCGAACTCAAACATTTCGAATACTTATTTCGAGAACGCTTTGTTGAGAATGGATTCGAGATGTACTCAAAATTAGTGCGTTAAAATGGGTATTATCATCTAAATAACCACCTCACAAATTATTTTGGAAATCAAAGATGTACGATTTTTGAGATTTTTATTTTCGAATGTTGACTTACTTACTTGGCTTGACTGTATGTTTAAGCTATGAGAAAAATGTAAACAAAAATCATAAATTATGACAATGTACTGAGAGAGCTCTTGTCTTGAAACCTTAATATTTTTTGCTCACATTGTGAGCCTATGATATTACTTGCATACATATCTAAGTAAAATTTAAAATTTTAATTCATAGGCCTTTATACGAGAAGTGATACGGGGTGAGCCAAAAAGGTAGCCCAAACAAATTTAACATAGTCATTCAGCATGGGCTTAAGGTCATATTTGGTACAATCAAACCTTGTCCAATGTTCCGTCATTCTACTTGGTCTATTTTCAATTGTTCATGATTTTATGGCCATTTTCAAAACATGATTTAGTTTCCTCGATCATGAGACATTGTTTATTCTCACTGCAGAAATCACTGCAGTATTTAACAGTTCACTTTTATTGTACCACTTTTATTGTACTTTTATTGGTATTTGTATTCTTCAGCTATAGTGATAGCCCACACTAAAGAAGGTAGCCAACAAGGAAACACCAACAAGGGAGTGGCAGTTGTTGCTTATTACTTGGAAAGTCTTGGCATGTAGTTTATCGTATATCATATCTAAGATCATAGCGTGTTACAGATCCATTGAGGAAAGCAGATAGTTGATATTTTCATATAACAAGACATTCAAAACTGATATATAAAAAGAAAAGCATGGTATTTACTAGTTCGGCTGATATGTCGGCAATACTTCAATCAAATGTTGGATCCCCGGGTTGGATACGTTCTTATTGTTTATTCTTGAATATAACAAAACTATACTACAAAAATAAAGAAGTCTTGAAACATAATATACTGTAATATATATAATTGATGAGTAAGTATCTAAAGGCCCCTTATATATAGTTATTAATAAAAAATTGAATATATCAATTATCGTAAGTAGGCCCATTTATAGAAAAATGATTTTTATGCACCATTATTCCCATTAAACTACCCAATTTGCTTATTGATATTATTCTCACTATCATCCTAAATTAAAATAAAATATGCAACAACACGAGTTGTTATGTTCTCTTCAATTAGCAAATGCGCAGATCAAGGGAAGATACACAAATGAACGGATTGTTGTAAAAATCTTTAGTGTTCTTTAGTTTTCCTCAAATACAGCATACACTTTGGGTATTTTCAGAAAATAGACATGACAAGGTATGGTATAGAATAGATATTCTAGAATTTATATAATTTTTGTTATGAGTTGTTGTGCATGTCGGAAATGAAAACTATCAGTTATCGTAAAATTGTAAAATTATAGATATGAGCTGGTCAAAGATGGTATATTTTAGATATATTTAATAATCATAGTACTATGTATGAAATATGTTGTGAATATATTTCTGATTGTATTGCGTAGATTGCAATGTTGTTTGAAACAGGGTATCATACTACATGTATGTAGCATTAGCGGGATAAATAGTGTAAAGTAATCGCCGTTTGCGGAACAAATCGTGAAACTTTCCACTCAAATGGTCATTGATTGCTACTCTTTAAATAAAGCAACTGTGCCAAAAAATCGCTCCATAGGAACTACCCTAATTTTACAATTCTTACCCCCCCCCATGGTCACAGAGGGGGGGGGGCTAAAAAAAATTTGACACAATTTTTTTTACTAAATTATGCTCATACTTCAAATTTATTATTACCTTATCATGTTAAGAAGTTAATGTTGAAGTAAAAATATGAAATACCATTGATTTTCAATTGCTATGTTAAAGGATGGTGATGGGCGACGCCCACTTTTCTTGTATTGAATATTTTGCACCATATCACAGTAGCAGGAGTAAATCGAATAAGTGATATATGATTTTAAAATTACATCTATATCTAATGCTTCACATGACTATTATTTTTCACCTTTTTCACTGTTAAAGGCTTGTTTTGAGTCACACCCATCTTTAAGATATACAGAAAAAATGGTAGATACGGCTTGACTTGTGGTTTCTTTTGGCTTCTGAGTGCAGTTAGACTCCATATATCAACTATCTATATCTGTTTCATAGTTCCTTTAGTTTCACTTTGCACACATTTTTAAATCATAGTTTTATTAATCTTATCAATAGAAGGATTTATACTAATGTCTATCAGTGTCATAGTTACTTTTTGGTATGTTGCAGTGTCCTTATGAAGAACAATTGCCATCACACACACATAATCCTGTACAAACAAGATTTCAGGCTCTTGCATCATGTTGATATGCATTGGTTTTTGCAGCTACACTTTATAAGAGCCTGGCAAGCGTCTAATGCTTGGGGTAAGGTTGTCGACCTTGGTATCCATTTGGTGTCTTCAAATATCCAGCCCCACTCAGCTGGGGAAGGAACTTGAGGATTCGCTGTAAGTGGTTGCCCCCAACTAAATACAGCTTGGTACAGACTATACAGACTCTCTTCATATGCTGTAAAAGGGCATCTGATGTTGAAGGAGTGTGTGATATTATTGAATTCCTCTTTGTGAACATCTCCTTCCTCGCAGCATTGATTGATGTTTCATTGCTTGTTTTAAGTTGTAGACCAGAATAATGAGCCGTTCTAAAATAGGCATCAAGCAGGGTATTGGGTCGTATTGAGATTTCTGTTAATACTGTAGTCAATTCAGGGTAGGTACTCCATTGGTTCCAGGCTGATGTCTTAGACTTCCCATTAAAGCCTGATGTGGTGTCACACCCAGTCATAGCATGGAATATTGGGAAACACATGGCTTTCTGAGGAGTCATTACATGGGCAATTTCGTGGGCTGGAAGGTATCTATAGGACTTTCCCTTGCCAAAGGCGAGCCAGATTTGAATGTTAAGTTGTACTAACTGCCAGAACAACAATGTTGGAATCAACTGTTCTAATTGTCATTTTTGTGAAGCCTTTTTTCATTGCATCATATATGTGCAGAAAGATTCGGGAATCTGCCTCTTCAAGGGATGATGTTGAAATCTCAGAAACATGCTGCTTAGGATATGCCTCTGCAGAATTCCCAATTGTTGTAATCAGGATTTTATTCTCTGGTACTGGAATGCTGAGACATTTGATGCAAGGAAGGTAAAGAGATCACTTTTCTTGTCATCCGAGCGTAGAAATTCTGGCCAATTCCCTGGCAATTTGTTTTCTTGATAAACTATTTGACGCTTTCCAGATCCACGCTTTTTTCTTGTTGAAGATTTGACACTATTTGGTATATATTGATCCCATACAATATCAAGTCTTTGTACTCTATTAAGTTGATCTGCAGCATACTTATTAAATATGTAATTTGAGTATTGTAGGAAGGTTCTTGCTTCTTGAGTTTTCAGCAGGTGGACTATTACAGCACCATCAAGAAACAGGGCTTCAACATCTGGTGTATTGATCTTTCTATTTGGAACAAGGTCTTCCACTGGTTTTACGATATTTGCTTTGAGGCCAGTCTTGATTGTGCCATCTTGTGAAAGGGATGGAGGGAAAGCCTGGTTCTCATGTCAGAAAAGTTCATCTAAGTTGCTGTCTCTATTCTGGCACGCTATGTATAGTTGTGAAAATATGTATACATGTAGTTGTGAAAATAGGGCAGTGTCATTTTTCAAGCTTGCTAGCTTTGAAATTGAGTTAGATTTTTTTGAAGATCTTGAAATTGTTTCTCTTGATAGGGTCTGGTGATGGCTTTTGATCTTTCAATAATTCTCTCCTTTATATATACTGTACTTCACATTGAATTTTCCCCTTTTTTTCAATTGTGTTCAATGTGTCAACTGCACTGCTTGACATTACATCTTTAGTATCAAGTGTCCAAAGTTCCTTTGATGTTGCAATAAAGGGGTTTCCTATACCTAAATCATTGATAACCTCAGTAAGGGAATTGTCATATTTGTTGAAACTGGTTTGATAACACACTGTGCTCATGGTTTGCAAGGACCATCATTATCCTTCATCTCATCCTCAAACTCAGTTAACATTCTTGCGATCTCTGGACCACCGACCATCCACTTCTGTAATGCGGTTGAATTGTCGAACAACCCCACAGCTCCACCCTCACTTTTGATCACATTATTATTTTGCTCATGGGCTTGGTCTATTGACATGGAGGAGAAGCTTCTTCTTGACTTGCTGACAGTGAAATGCCCCTTCATGAAAGCATTGTGAACTTCAGGGTGGATTTCTTTGAGCTGAACCATATCACTTACATGGACAGGTACCCAGTGGGCATAATTGGTATGATCCAGGGAGAAAAACCATGGAATGATTTCGATGATACCCTGTGTTTCTTCACTCTGCTATCTGGTATCTATCCAAGATTCAAAATTAAGAGGCAAAATTGTATTGATTGGTAATCTACCTGAAATCTACCCAGGTAACAAGACCCCCTCCCAATACACATAACACTCCTTCTTAATTCAAAACTGCCCTTATTAAACCAACAATATCATATTTTAAAAACATAACAGTTCATCAAAATAAGCAGAACTACTTCTTGATTATTTTTATTAATCATGTAGGTCAAAATCATACTTACAAAAACTGATCTAGATCCTATCATAAACGTTGATGCTCATTTTCACTCAAGCATGACCTTGTCAAAAACAAGAAGTGATTTTGGTAGTTGTTAAAGAAAGATACACTTTTTGCTAGATTATTCTGTATTTGCATTAAAGTCACTCATCAGATGTCACATAGTTTGTCAAACTTTATTTTCAATTAAAATTACATTGTTTATTATGTCGAAGTATATGCCACTCTGGAAAAGAGATAAAAGGAATTAATTAAAGATAAGTAAATATTCATTTTGCTAAAAATTGACTGCAATCTCACTCATTATCATGTATATCATGGTAAAAGGTCCCAACATTGAAATTATGATACTATTTAATGATAATCCTAAAATGTTATGGATGGTCTACCCCTATAAATTTTAGGGGTATGGGTAAAAATTGCGAAAAGCAGATAAAAAATGGAGGAAATTTTCGGCACAGTTGCTTTTTACACCCAGGAAGGTTGTCTGGTCATATATGGAAAGTTCCACGATTTGTTCCGTTTTCGGCGCTTTCGCCCTTTTTTATGTCACTATTTATCTCGCTACATAACATCTCGCTAACGTTACATTACTCACGGTTCAATTCAATTGACAATTATCAAAGAAAAACATAACATTATTTTTTCAATGAGCTATTTATTCCAGTAGCATACACAATTTCTTGTCGGGTTTGAAATTGGGCTTGGAATATGTTTAGCATCTGCTCCTTCTGTTTCTATATGCGAAGGTAATCTGCCCACGTGGATTGCCAACCAACAACCTCTGAGTTCTGCAACCGGCGCTAAAATGAAAAACAAAAGTTGAATATAACACAAGTTTTGTTAAGGTTGACAAAGGCTACATTTTTGATTTTCACGTGGGTCTATTTATTATTCGAAAAATAAAACAATCATGCGTTTAGACATGGCCTGACTTTTAGGTCACATGGGCGAGCTATTGTTATTGCCCACTTGTCTTGCCGTCTGTCTGTCAACATATTGGTAACTTATTCGAAATTCTCCACGACAATATAAATGGTTTCACTTTTAAAATGTGTCTGTATAAAGTCGTCCATCCTTCGTCCAAAGGTATTTCACATCTTTCCTGAATTAAGCGATAAATGAAGTCCTTTAAATGAAGGATGGAGTCAGTTATTCCATAAGTATCATCTCAAAGGCCCGCCTTGTTTCTTTATTCCGGAAAAATCAAGTTTTCAGCTCGTTTTTGGTCATACCCTCACAAGTATTCCATCAAATTGCTTATACTTTCAATAATGTCTCATGCTTCGGCAAATTAAATCGTAAAGATGTGAAAAGGGAAAAAACAAATGAGACTCTTGTACCATAATTTTTATAATTACCATAATTTTAGTTTATCAATGATACATAACGTTTTAGTAAAATATGTCGCAAAGATTCCAAAAGGCACGTTTATTGTAGGAAATCAGGTTTTCAGTTTTTTTTTATCATATTAGATATTTCCTCCATTTGCTTGAAATGGTACAGGCCGTTTTATTAATATATAAGTTATCAATAATGTCTACAAGCTTCGGCAAAATCTATGGCGAATTTGGCCCCCACTCTGGAATTCTTCTGATCCAGCTTCATTGTGGAAGACGGTATTTATTGATCCATATTTATTGACCCATATTTTCAATTTTGACTAACCAAGTACAAAATTACTATATCAACCAAATTTCATATAAAAAAGCCTTAATCAATACTAGTTCCTACTGTTCAATATTAAAATATTGAAACCTTCCCATGTGAGCCCAGTACCCATGGTATTATTTTATTCATTCTTGCATTTGTACTTACGATGCAACTCCAGAATTTCTTCCCTTGCTTCTTGCTCTTACTGATGGAATCCCTGCACACCTCATTCGTGTGGTCCACGTCCACTCCCATCTATAGAAACCACCTCTCTGTCTCCATGGACACCTTATCAATTGGCCATTTCGCTGCATTAGGTTTACCTGCAGAAGAACTTGATAATGATACTAATACAGAAAGAGATCTGATGATGATAGATGATTGAAATGGAAGGAACGATCGACCTATGGAAAGACAGACAGGTGGGGAAATAAGAAGAGGTAATGATTGTCCGCTTTTCATGCTTATACAATCTACGATTTTCTGCTGTAAACTGACTTACATTGCCACGACGACTGGTGATAACTTGAATGATGCCATAACTGATGTCAACCACACCTAATCAAATAAACCAATATGTTAATGCAATCAGCAAATTAAAAACAAGTGGGGGAAAGCCACAAGGATAACAAGACCCTATCTTCGTGTAAATATGCACCTCTATTTCATTGATCTCTAAAAGAGGGGGGATACCCTAGGTTAATATAAAGATGACCTGTCGCCTACGATTGGTAAATAGAAAAGTTTCCATATGGCTTCGAAATCCCGCTTATTCTCATTATCGTAAGATTTGCATATCAAATCTCTATTGACTTAACTTTCCTTCTTTTTAATATCATATGAATTCAGTTAAAGTTTTCCATAATCATAAATTTGATTTATACAGAAAGTTTTCGAATCACAATAATAAAGATTTATACAGTCATGTTATCTAAATCATTTTTCATGGGTTGCACTTTTGATACAATCTGTTGTTATTGTACATTGAAACAATGTGCGTCATTATTGTCGTAACTATACCTCTTATGATTGTCACTGGGCCTGGAATCAAGAATGATGGGATGCGATCTATCATGCGATCGGCGAAGACCTCTTCAATCTCATCATCCGGAATCGTTTCTTCGGTGACCTCAATATCATCTGGATCGATCCATTTTGTGTCTAGTTCCCACTCTGCTCCCACAAAGCCAATAATCGCAATAGCAAGCAATAACTTCAACATTGTGATCTGTGAGCAAAATGTAAAAGATGTCAACAATTAGGCAGTTATTTGAGATCTGTTATTTGCGTCTAATTCCATTGTACCGTTTAAGCAGCAAATTGTATTCAAATCTAGTGGAAATAATATAAAGTGCAGAAACCAACATCGCTAAATGATTAATTCTAATAATAGCAAATAGTATCACGGACCCTCCCTCCTCCTAACAATACAACCCAACCGCAAATGTGCGCGGATGATTGACTCAAAATGACTCGATTCTGATTCAGGTCCAAACTCAAGAATCGACGAGACGTCAAAGAAATAAAATGCTTTCATTAATTTAATCCAAAAATCTATTTATATCAGCGTCCTGTGTGTGATTGGTTCAAATAAATGGTTACTTACTCAACCTTTGGAAAAATAGCACACCGTTCGCATAAAAATAACCATTATTAGGAAATTCACATTTTTACAAAAGTTTTTTCCATCTCTATTTGCAGTAATGTTTTTAGCATTAGCATTAACATGTTGCTTTTGTTGGCTCAGACTCCTTTCAACGAACTTTGAGAGTAAACCTTACCTTGTTGTAGCAACACTAACGTGAAGACATTTCGGGAGATTTTATAGCAAAATCTATCTTCGCCGTGATTGGCTGTACCATTGTGTAACTGGCAAATGTACACCACTTGAGATTCTACTCTGACTGGTGATGTCTGGTGACCGAGAAGTCACCTGGTACCAAAGACCTGGCAGTGGTTATATAAGTTTGGGAATAGTGCAAATGTAATGTCTGGCATGGTTCTCAATATATTTGAAACATAACTTTTTGTAATTGTTATTTTATTAATTAATTTTCCACTTGACATAAAAGGTTGGGCTGACACGACCGATCACAAATTGAAAAACAATTGGGGTCTAGAACACTGGCATTAGCTGCTTTTGTAACTAATGATACTCAAATGTACAAGAAATACGAACATCCATTGCCAGCAGTTCTAGTGGAGAGTATCCCGACAGACTTAGATAACTCCCTCGCAAAATTTGAACTGAATCAGCTCAAACGTGATAACTCATGAAACTGAGCAAAATTGTTGATCATCAAATCAGGTGTCCTGAATGATCGATGCAACGAGTTTCTATGTTGGAGTACTCCCGAGAGACGCGCCCAAAAGCCAAACCCAAAAAGATAAAGCTTAACGAAATGAAGCTGATTCGGTATTTTTCACTGTTCAGCACCACTCAAGCCTGAAGATAACAAGAATGATCCTTGTCAGACAGATCCTATGGTGGAATACTCCAGACAGACACGTCCTAAAAAGCCACAACCCCGAAACTGAACTCCAAAGCTCCAAAGGGTAACTCAATGAACTGAACGAAAATTGTTCATCATCAACCCCGGTATCCCGAATAATCAATGCATACATTTTCTGTGGTAGTTTACCCCGGACAGACACGTCAAAATAGTAGTTTCTAAAGATAAGCTAGATCTGCTGAAAAGTGTACCTACTGAAACTAATTTGGGAAAATGCATCCCCCGGGCATTATGAATGGTCATGGTCATTGGTCATATAGTTTCTAACTTTCTATTGTACACGTCCAAAAAGTCGCAAGCCAAAATCTAGCTGGCTGGATAATATGTATAGAGGATGATATACTTCTTGGACAAATCCCGTTGCACGAAGATGCGTTATCTTTGTTCAAATAATGTTCTAACTATCCCTCACAATCTGAGGTAGTGTTGTTTGTATGTGTTTTGGACGGTTGTTTGAGATTCGTGTAAGCAACATAAAACTAGCGTTTTCGACGGTATCCCTTGTGTAGTGGGGTCGATGGGAAAAGAACATGCTCCTAAATTCTATCATTTATCAAAATACCCAAGAACGTTCGCCCTCATTAACTTCAATAGAAAGCAACTATTGAAAAGCTTGTTATAAAAAGAAGGGGGTGTTAGCCTATTTTGAATAAGGTAATGTAACTATTGGGGCGTTTATTGTGTAATGGCCTAGTCACATAGCCCGGCCGATGAGGTTACGATGAGCCAGCGATGCAATTTTCACACAACTCGGCCGAACACCGACCGGACACCGGCCGGACATCCGTGGCGTTTGTTGCTTTAAACCGCATCGGTGGTAGCTCGGTGAAATTTTAACTTCGGAGTTAAATTTCACCGGGCTCTCACCGAGCTCCCTCATCATGTCATCGCAGCCCCATCGTAACCACATCGGAAAACACGTCGGCCGGTGCACGGCCGAGTATCGGCCGGTGTCCCGTGCATCTGAGACAACCAGAGGACGAGGTTTTTTAACGGACAGCGGCCGAGCTCCGACCGAGCTCCGGCCGATGTGGGACAGAGCATCGGCCGGTCACTGTTCAAAGCCCGTTAACAACCCGGCCGGCGATCGCACGGTGTCCTGTTACCTGCTCGGGTACCGGCCGTATTCCTTCCGATGTCCGGCCGACCTCCGGCCGGTAGTTGCTGCCACATCGGCAGAAAAAAGCTACCATTTTGAGACAGACTCCGTACGGTCACCGGCCGGTGTTCTGTCGGTCGCCTGAAGATGTCCGGACGGAGTCCGTTCACGTCACCGAGCTCTGCTTCCGATGAGGAGAGCTCGGTGGCACCAAAAAAATCCACCGAGCTCTACCGATGCCGGACATCGGCCGGGCTATGTGACTAGGCCATTATATGCAAAGAAAAGAAAAACTCATGCTGTGTAATAGCTTGTAGAAGGAAAATCAAAACATTTGGTTCTTTTCAGAGAAGATTTTTTGTAATAGGATCTAGTTTTCGTTTTTTAAAGGCGACGACCCCACATCAAGTTTGGAGCATATTCCTCCACAGCTAATTTGACTTCATCCCTACGTGATGTGTTGGCCTTGTTTTTTAATTATGCATATGTATGGTTCTCATTCACAAGTACAAGTATCATTAATAACGTGCACTTGAATTAAATAGACGAGGTTGATATGCCCATTGTGGGCCGGGTGTTTGTTGGTAAAAATGAAGATCTTACCATATTAAAATTGAATAGAAACAAACAAACAAACATCAAAAGTTAGCATGTAATGTTTATTTAAGAAATGGAAAAGCTCAACTGAATGTCCCAAAACCAAAAATATATTCTTAAAGTACATGTAGTTCAAGTACAAGTCATCGAGCACAAGTACAAGTTATTGCGACAATTCAAGATAGAGAATTCAATTTCAAGTCATCGCGAGCAACCATTAGTGAGGTTAAGATAGTGAATGGAATTACACTTTGCACAATATTTCATACTGAAATATTGTATTGCATTATCAAACGTTCGTTTCTTCAACGTTTTTTGTGAAGCAATGAAATTCCATTTTCTATTTTTAATCGTTACCTTTTGCTTAATAAAATAAAAACCTAGTACTGTACGAGCAAAATAAAAATGTGTCTAATATGTCTAAGCTAGACGATAAAATAGTCTTAGTTTTCGTAAAGAAACCGATGCGCATTTCACCAGAAGTATCTTGAATCTAACAAATTTAGTGAAGAATATGGCTTTTTAAACAGTAGACTAAATTTGGTTTTCGTAGCTTTTGATTACGTCTAATCTAAAAGAGCTTTTTCGAAATGACCATCTTGATTTTAAGTTACTGGGGTAATTTCTTTTTCCAAATAACTCGCACGCACTTTATATTACTCAGGCCCTTAGCCAGGCTGTATGTGTGGGGGGATTTGGATCTTGAACGGTATTCTTTCTATTTGACCTTTCAGATTTGACATTCGGTAACCTTTTCAAAAAGACATTTTTTCAACTTGCTTCAAATTGACCAACTCCTTTTTTCAAAATATCTACAAGCTATCAGAAGTTCAAATCTGACTTTATTGATCTTCTCAAGGTCAAAAAGTGTTTTTCAATTTGTTTCAAATTGACCAATTCTTTTTCAAAATAATCTAGAAGTTCTCAAAAGTTCAAATCTGACTATAGATTTGACCTTCAATGATATTCTCAAGGTCAAAATAATATTTGACCTTCATAAGGTCAAAAAAGTCTTTTTTCAACTTGCTTCAAATTGATCAATTTCTTTTTTTCAAAATCATCTACAAGTTCTCAGAAGTTCAAATCTGAATTTAGATTTGAGATTTCACCTTCAATGACCTTGTCAGTGTCAAAAAAGGTCTTATTTCAATTTGCTTCAAATTTACCAATTTTTATTTTTAAAATCATCTACAAGTTCTCGGAAATTCAAATTTGTGAGCAACTAGGCGTGACATTTTGTCATGTTAATGCCTTGTTTTCGTCTCCCACCCTCTGAATTTTCAGGGTTGCCCAAGGCATTGCTTTAGCATGGAAAATGTTTATGTGTGGGCAGTGGGGGGTTGGTTCGATCTGAACACTTTTATTAAGTACATTCATTTCTCAAAATAATAATCTAAAAATATTTTTTCCCAAAGATGATATTTTAATGTTTGGAGGATACATCTAGACAACTTGAATTCACGACAGAAATACCTACACTGAATCATATATCTCCATTGTCTGCAATCGAAGATATGTCATCAAAATGTACCTTGTGGGATAGCTTTCACCAAAAAATGCCTCAATAGTGCATATTAATATGGCCGATGTGTTGGAGGATACAAATATTTGACAAATCGTATATAGTAAAACATACTTAATTATGCGACTAAGACATATCAACATCCCGCTTTCACGAGCTGGTAGCACATAACGCAATCGATACATTTTATGTTAAGAAATCCGAGATTATATTTGCCGAAAAATAAAATATTTCTTAATTGTCTAAAAATCCATCATTAAGGTGATATTTTTAAAAAAGATAAGCAATATTCCAAACAGGTACCTTGTGGTAATGATTGCTCAAAGTCTCGTCAACAAAAAATAACACATTGCATGTCCATGAAATCAACATATATTTCGCAGTTTCTAGTACAACAGATTTTTAACATATCAATTATCGTAAATTGTCCCATGTAGACAAAATTATTAGAATTAGCAAAGCTTTCATCTATTTTTGATAAAACCAACCATTGAATTAA